GTGTGGGTGTGGGTGTGGGTGTGGGTGTGGGTGTGGGTGTGGTTGTATCTTTTGTTGCATTCGTATCCACACCCACACTCACACCCACATCCTATTATTCATATGAAGTACTGTGATGATACATTTGATTAATGTTTCGGTCTCATAAATAAATAATGAGTATGAAATATCTCGCATAAAAAAGACATTTCTATGGTTATAATTAGATACTGTAGGTCAGATATAACATATTAATCGGACAAGAATTATTAGAATTTTAAAGACTAAGAATAAATTATTTGAAAGTGAATTTATTTAAATGAAACAAGATTAAAAAAGAAAAGTGTTAGCCTGATTTTGATTTGTTAAAAAAAAGGTTCTGCATGTGTCATTTGCGTATATTTAGAATAAAAAAGAATATCATTGGAGAATTACTAACATTTGATATTTCTAATTGTGAAAAATATTTTTCTAAAACAATCAATAATTGACATAAATTTACAATTAAATTTTGATGAACAATTAAGTTCTTTTATTTGACTAAGATTAGTATATATGCCATCATGTTCATGAAATTCAGTAAGTCATTAACATGATAAATCTTTTTGAATTATTGATGACAAATCAACAGTTGAGTCTGAATATTCTTAATCTAAATTTTAAAGAAAATATTTTTCTTAAATTAATTCTTTTATTTAGTTGAAAGTTTTTTATTGTCTTTTGGAATATAATAAATACTTTATTTTTATTAAAATCATGAAAATTCTAGTTCACTAATAAAAACTACATTAGACATAGAGTTTACTCATAAAAAAGTCAATTGACTGTTCAAATGGGAATTACATGTGTCAATCATCTATTAATGGATTTTCAGAGTTTCCCTTTTATCCTACAATGTCAATTCGTAGAACGAAAGAAATAAACAATAAGAATCCATTGAAAAAAATGAAAACTATTTAATTGATTTTTCTTAATCTTGAAAAAAAAAAACATCGAACAAAGTTATTTATATTAATCATATGAGTAAATCTAACAAAAACAGATGTGTTATAATAAGGTTAAGTCTATCTTTCTATAATTATTCTGTTTCAGATTAACAGAACGTTACTTGAAAGTAATAAGTTGTATGTGGATCTTCATTTTCTTGTAAAAGTAGCATATGTGGTAAGAGCTGGTTGAAACAGGCGAAAGAAGTAACTAAAGACATAAAATATGTTCACATTTTTTTATAATAATTTCATACTTAAATTGTAGAATACTTTTGCATTTGGTGAATCATTAATAGCAAAAATCGAACAATTAGAATTATTAGTAGCTATTCGAGATGCCACAATAAATCAATTACAAGATGAAAAATTATAAATGTCACAAATGACTTAGTTTCAAGAAAAAAATCAAGAAATTGAATAGTGAACTGGCCAAAACGAAGGAAAAAATGAATGATACCGATTTATTATCTTCATCGCAATTGATAAAAAAAATAAACAATACAAAGAATAAAAACAAGTGTTAAATAAGTATTGTGTGCTAGATTAATTGTTCATGTACTTGTCTTTTTCTTGTGCATATGCTAGGTTATTTGTTCGTGCACATCCTTTTTTTTTGTTCTGCTATATTTTTAGTTTTTGTTCGTTCTTCTTTAACACAAATGTGCGAAAAACGATACAACAATGAAAATAAATAAAATAAATATAAGTTCATTATTTGTAAGAAATCAAAGTAGACGTCATAATGTGCATGCAAGAAGAAATAAATATTTTGATAAGAATTAAAAAAAACCAACAATCATTCTATTTTGATAAATAATGAATGAATGATCATTAGCACACATATAACATACTATGGAAAGAAATTTCGTCGTCTTATTTATGTCGCACTAGATATTTTTGATTTTATTTTTTCTCCGTGTACTTGTTGAAGTAAGCATGTGAAGAAAATTAAAGAAAGAATTTCAAAGTAAAATTTGAAATTATCAAATAAATAATCTTTGATGAAAATATTTGAATGCAAAATAAAATTTTTCATCGAAAAGTATTCTTTGAATATTTGTAACCCAATAACCAAAATATTTTCTGCCAAATGGCACAACACTTTAGAAATTTGTATTATGAGAAATCAACAGATGATTTTCTTCTGGAATGTGACGCAAGTTTGATTATATAAAATTGAAAGTACTGTAAACCTGCAGAAATAAAAAAAAAGAAGCAAAATATTTCATATATCTATTGATTGCATATTTATATTTGAATATTTCGAGAAATTTTCTTCCGTTGATGATCATTTTACAGAGAACTTCTTTACGAAATTTCTTCAAAATAATTTCAAAATGAATCGAATAGCATAAGATATCGCTTTCTGAAACAATCACATCTTTCATAATAACTAAAATTTTCTTAACATCTTGTTCTCTACAATCAATTACTCATCTTTCTCTTCAAATTATTATTGACATTGTAGATGACAACACATCTGATCCTCTTTTGCTAGCATGTTGCTCTACGAAAAAAATATTTTTGTTCAAATAAACATCTTATGACTGCTTTATATTACCTATTTTGTTAATTGTGATGTTTTTTGTTCAGTAACTTTCTGAAGGTACACCTGTCCGAAAGTTATCAAATATTTGGAGTTAAAGTCTTAGAATGAGTATGATTTAAATATGAAAACATTCTAGGAAAAATATTCAGATATTGTTTTTTTACTTCTATAATATTCACAACAAGAATTGGTCTAAATATCATTGATTTGAAAGCTAATTGTGATGCTTTTTCCAGACCTTTCCAACTGAAATAATCATATATTTTCCACAAAACAATTTAATTGATTCTTTTCTCTTTTTTATCAAATCAAAGAATGATAATCTATACTTAAAATGAAAGGTTTATCACTAAATATTTTATTGGTGATGAACTGTAAATTCTTTTATTATTCTTGTTGAATGGTTTCTACCAAAAGAATGACTATTGATTATTGCTAAGAAAGCAAAAAAAACATATTCTTTCAAGGCAATTAATTGAGAATATCACATGAATCAATACGATTTGGATGAATTTCACTAACAAAGAATCAACAAATATTGACACTTAATTCGAAATCATGTGGTCCACAAAATTTCTAAAACAAAAAAACAAATATCATCTGATTGCCAAGTAGGAATCAATTGATCGAAAGGTTTCGGATGAACACTAAACGTACTTATGACATACCAGAAGTCTTTACGGAACTACGTACATCAATTTCTTATACAATGCTTGAAGAAATCTTCTTTATATGAGCCAATTCAGATAAGCCACGACTAACACCCTACTCAATCGAGGTCGTCAGGTTTTCCTCGATTTTAAACATATAATACAGGAAACTATTCTAGGAATTTTGACGCAAGCTGTTCGAAAAACCATTGTTCCGCTCTCAAGACATTCAATTTTTTCTGAGGGTGCCCTCATTGAAATGGTGTGTTTCTCGTGATATTTTGTGACATCTATATCTCAAGAAGTAGGCTAGCATTTGGCTTGAAATTTTTACTGTTAATAGATATAATAATTTTGCATTTTCAAAAAAAACTTCAGCTTGAATTGATAAATCATTATGGAATTAACACAAACCACAAAGAAAATGAAAAATTGTCATTTTTTTAATGTTTTGTGCACTTTTATTTTTCGAGTATAGATATCTTATCGAAACCTTGTTCTTTTGAAAATTTCAGCTTTCTAGTTAGTTCCAGTTGTTCAGGAGACCCTCGTCAGAAATGCGTTTTTGACGAAAATCACGATTTTGAGCGAGTCCGATCCAGAGCAAAATCAACTCTATAAAGGTCAAACTTTTGGCTATTTAAAGTATCCTCTGAAAGCTAAAAACTTATGCAAAAGTTCGCGTGGGACACTAAAAGTTAACCTTACAAGACTTATCGGAATTTCCAAAACATTAAGCCTCTTTTTCTATAGGAAACATTCATATTCAATTCAAAAATACTTAAAGATTTCCAATATATAAGATAAATTCTATCTAGTATAAATCACTATATGACCTTCTATCAGCGTACATAAAAATACCTTTTCAAAATGAATAAAAAAATTTTCCATCAGTTCTCCTAAGAGATGCGGGGAATTCGGTAAATATTTTTTTAAACCATATTTTTGTGTAGAGCGATAGAGGGTCACATATTGATTTATACTAGACAGAATTCATATTATATATTGGAAATCTCGAAGTATTTTTGAATTGAACATGAATGTGTTTCGTAAAGAAAAGGAGGCTTAGTTTTTTGGATTTCCCGATAAGTCTTGTAAGACTGGCTTTTAATATCTCACGCAAACTTTAGCATAAGTTTGTAGCACTTAGTGGGTACTTTAAATTGCTAAAAGTCCGCCCTATATAGATTTGATTTTGCTCTGGATCGGACTCGCTCGAAATCGTAATTTT